ATTCTGAGCCATTTGGGGCAGATGACAGTTCCGAACGTTAGCGAAGGCGAATTGCTCGACTCTATCTTACGTGAGAAAGCAGGGGCTTATTGAAAAAATAATATAAAGATCAAGTTGGGCTTATGTTTACAAGCCATTGAAGTCTAATCATTCATCCGGATCATTGAAGCAAGGAGCGGTCTTTTCTGGAAACATGATTTGCCATTCAGCACTCTCAGATACTCTACCGTTGATTTAGACAAGACTGGTCCCGTCCGAATCTCAGTTGCCATCTTCGCTTTCTTCTGAAAACATACTCTAAAGAAATGTTAGCCGATATCTTGCCTAATCAGTCGCAAGATGCAAAATCTTCATGTCTGCGCTTTCTTGAAGCCGAGTCAATGATGAACGTGCTTTTCGAATAACGCATGTGATGACGACCATTCCGTACGAAAGTGGCCAATAACGGGTTTAGTCATTATGACAGCCAACAGCAGAAATGTGCTGTATATTTATATGTCGATAGCTTCACGCAAGACCTGTACAACGAGAAGCGTTTAGTTCCACATTCGAAAGGTAAAAGCCTATTTCTACGCGAATCAGCCCCTGTATAGTAAACATGGTACAAGAAGCAGACGAAGACAGTGGCGTTCGATCATGTAGCAGTCAGCTCGGCAGCTACTATAGCAATTCAAGCAAAACGTATGATCTCATTTTCTCATCGATAAGCAAATATGTTCAGCTGCTTTGCGACCTGGTGATTTACTGTTATTTACCCACTGCCATCTCGTGTCACGCGGCCGGATACGTCCAATGCCGCACACTCAACGTATGTGGATCGTTGTTGTTGCATCCGACCAGCGAATGCCTCGTCGCGTTGTCATTCGGACTCACTCTGCCACATCGTGGTAAGGCGCGTACTGCGGACGGATTGGTCCACCTCTACTTCAGAAAAACAGGCATACCTGTTCTCTGCCAATACTTCCATCGGCACTGAGCCGGTTCTTATGGTATGTTTACACAAACTACTAAACGCATCTTCTACAGGTTACTTCAGCCGGTTGTCTGCCGCACGCGCATAGCTAGAACACAACCAACATCCGAACTGAGAAACAGTGAGTGCAATGTGAGTCGAAGCAGATTGGAATGGCTTATCGAACCGGTGATGAGAAAGTCCATTTTAACTGCTAAATTTTTTCTGTTAAAAGCTTATGTTTAGTGCCGCCTCGGTCTCGCCTCATGCAATCGCTGAAACGATGCAATGCTTGAGTTAGAAGTTTTACTGCTCAAAAAATCGCATGATTAAGACTTTTCAGAATAACATAATAACCGCGCAAAAGCAAAATATCCATTAATATTTCGCAATAACACTGAAATGAAACTTTGGTATCTAAAGGCGAACAAATTAATAGGCAAATGCCAAGTAGAATAACAACCACCCCATATAAGGGGTTAAAACTGATAATACGCATAGCTCACACTACGTCATAAGTGGACTGACAACTCAAATTGAGGAAGCTGCTTTCTGCTTTGTGGAATTCACCTCCGACTCGGTCCAAAGAGACTTTGTGGCACATCATATGGCTTCATGGCGTCCTGTCGAAGCTAATTCTATTAATCAGGGTACATTGCAATCACGGCCGATGAAATTTTATGCTTATGGAGAGGAGGCGGGTTCTTTGACATATACGCCAAGGAGTTTGGCAAGACTGTGTTCTTTCACGAGACCTTTCCAATTTTGCACTGATTCGATTCTACATGCTGCATTCGACGGAACTGACGGTGCAAGTGGTCAGCCCCAGTTTTCGTGTCACTGACCTCGATTATGCAAAATACATCGCCCTCTTTACATCGGATTATTTAAAGATGTAAAAAATACTCGACTTGCGTAAATAAGATGACATCGTCTGTTGGATTTGCATATTAATGCATCAGAAGCAAGATGCATAGCCTTACTAGAAGGAGATGAATAGCCAATCAGCCATGAGTCATTCACCGTCTGAGAAGCCGAATTTTCAAATATCTGGACTCCGTCATGTCTCCAAATTGCCAATCATGATATGAAATTGCAGCACTTATTTCAGCAGCGAGGCAAATACATTCCTGATACGCAAACCTCTCTGAGGCGTTATGAAATCAGCCTCAGAACGAAAGTACGCGTCCTGTTAAACACGGTAAGGTATACGCACTGGTCGCCCTGTGCATATGTGACTTGGAAGTTAGAAGTATTCGAGCAGTTATATTTCCAATTCTATGCTAGTATGTTCGCTCAATGAGGTATCGAAAACAGAGGTCCGCAGCCGCTGCAAAGTTATCGTAGTCACATTTGTCATTCATGATCCGGTTACATTGGCTTCGTATGACCTTCTGAGAAATCTTGAAGATATTGTACGATAAGCATTGCAGCCCGTTCTTCGCCTAAAGTGAAGCTCTTGGATGAATGGCAAAAACATGACCTGGATGGATACCGAGAGGTCTCAGGACCGGTCTTCTATGGATTACAAGGATGGAAGACCGAATGGCAATCCTTGATGACGGGCATAACGCTTGACGGTGTGGGGTTGAAAGCGGAGAATGATGAAGGATGCCGAGGAGTTATGAAATGCCTTTGTTGTACACTGAGTCAGCCTGAAGCGCTTCCTCGTAGCAAACATTCTGGAGCAGCATTCAGCAAAGCCTCTGCGCAAGTGATGTTCAGGATCGGCAAGAAACGCTTCCTTAGATTTCGTCGCCCAATCTATGGTAGTGAGTAGAACCACTGTAAGATTGAACTTGTTGTCCATCGTATGCCAACTAACTTTTAAATTCATTTATCTTCACACGAAATACTACGCTATATCTGCCTTATTCAGAAACATAGTGAAGAATATGCCTTTGCGCTGCTGCGACAGGCAGTGCTGAAGAAGACCGTGAGTAATAAATTGGCCATCATACCGACTTTTCCAAAATATTCGTATAAACCAGCACTGTTTAACAACGAACTTCTGCACTCCAGCTTGAATTCACACGAACCATCTGAAAAATGCCTGTAATTTCTATCCCATTTTCTCCAATGTTCCAGAAATAGTCAAAAAAGTCTAGTGAACAATGGGCTTGTAGTGCATTACAAAACTGGGATGACACCATCGGATAATTCTGCTCAGTTTCATCACAGAGATTGACTGAAGCCTTTAGCGCAGTTTATACGATAAGCTGTATCGATTACGATAAAACTCATATAAGCAAAGCCTGAAGGCGACAGCAGCAATTCTGAACACTCAGGCATTACTTCCCACGCCATGGCTGCGCGACACAACTTCAGCGATGCCATTGCTTCGGTAACTGGCAGAAATAACACAAAGGTGGCGCTAGTTGTTGAAGAATCCGTGTACATCCTGACTCAAAATTACTGAAGGTGTAGCGAATACGCCTCTCCTTTTGCAGTGAATGAAAGTTAGGATATAGTAAGTTCATTGGAACACAACTCTTAGTCTCGTTACCTGAGTAGAACACAATAGCAAATTCATTGTGTATGTACTTTTCAACATTTCGGATCCTCCTCAATCCATCATCAGGGACTGATATTTTCAACAAAGCCAAAGTGTAATACCACGGAGCCGTAGCCTGCTGATCAATTTCCCTACACCATTATAAACAGTGGATAGGACGTTCGAGAATGCAGGTGTGTGATAGGTATACGTCATTCATCTATAATTATCTTTTGTTAGTGTGCTCAGAAGAGCTTGGTCAGTTTCTGCTTATGCTTGAAAATTGTTTATTGTTCTTTTACGCAGGAGATTAATTCCGTTGTATTCGTGCTTGTAACGGCATTGCTCCGCATATACATTTTATTACACATTTTACCAACGTTTCGAGGCATATTCGGCTCGATGTCAAGATACAATCTAGCACCGTGAAAAACGTTCAGATGAAGACATGAACAGGTCGATCAGTGATCGCTGCCCTAATGCTCCATGATGACAGGTGTTTATATGGGCACAACTGTGCTGGAATAAGGTGTTCATTATGATCATATCATTGAAGAAATCCAGTGGTTTGACATCCTTCAGGTTTATGTATAATATGCCGTTCTTCCGATCGCGCGTTTCTATCTTCGGTTATCGTTTCCGGTATATTCGTTGAAGTTCTCTATCAAGAAGGCTACTCTTCTCATGGTGCTTCAATGTCCGCGGAGAAAGAATGGTAGTGTGACGCTAGAATGAACTCATACGCTTGCACCAGAGTCAGCAAATCCTTTACCGGACGATTGGGGGGGCAGTCAACAGCGCAGCCAGTTAACTGGGGGTGCACCAATGGCGCCACCTTTGAATGTACCAGCATAGTTGGATTAGTTCTAGAGCAGAAGAGCTTCCGTTCATTTTCGAGGTCGAAGACCTTGTAAGTGCGGTGTTCGGTAGAAGAGATTTCAATCATGTCCAGTTAATGGCGTTCTGTATCTTTAACCAACTCCTGTTCCATTCCGATCACAGAAAAGAGTTCCGTTTACCAAGTGACGTGCTCCATTGATTTTGCCGGTTCAATGAAGAACATTCTGAGTTCTCTTTGTGATATGCAACAGCCTCAGTTGTCACCCTAAACGGGATAGGCAGCTCATTAACAGGGTTGCATGGCCTGTTTGTTTGTCACCTGCGCATTGCGAGAGAAGACTGTAGCAGATTTTTCGAAAGAGCCTCTCTGCTCATGTTTCAAAGCGTTTCCTTATTGATCGATGTTAACAATGATACGGTAGGGAGCTTTACATAAAATTCACGTTGGTATCATGACATTGTTTTTGCTAACCGAAATTTTAGATGCTTGA